TTGTTATTGGTGATCTAAATAGTAGAACCGGAACAAGTAGCGATTTTATAGAAAATGACAATATTGGAAGTTTACCTTTCCATGTTTTATCGAATGTTTTTAATTACTTACCTGATATAAACGTTACTGAAAGAAAAAGTACAGATAAAATTGTAAACACAATGGGAAGAAAACTTTTGAATTTATGTAAAGCGAGTGGTTTGAGAATTGTAAATGGGCGACATCCGGGCGACGATAAAGGCAGTATTACATTCTATAATAGTTTGGGAAAAAGTTTAATCGATTATGTTCTTGTTGATGAGTCAAATTTCGAAATTATAGGAAATTTTAAAAGCGGAGAGTTCAATCATTTTTCAGACCATTCGCCTATTGTGTTTACGGTAGAAATTAAGATTATAGAAGAAAATATACATGGTGATAATGAGCTGTTTTATTCTACGCGATGGAATCAGGAACATTTTGAGTTAATTAAAAACAATGGTCAGTGATAATGCCGATAGTCTAATGCATACATGTATAAATATGGATATGTCTTTGGATAGTGTTAATAAAAGTGTCGCAGATTTTTCTGAATTACTGAGAACCATTGTTGAACCTTATTGCGTTCAAATTCCATCTTGTAATATATCTAAAAACTATAATAAGGGAGATAAACCTTGGTTTTCAGAAACTTGTAAAGTAAAATTCAAAGAATACAAAACTGCTCTCTCAGTCTTTAATAAGAACAAAACACGTGACAATCATACAAGTTTGATCGATAAGAAAAAGGTATACAAGAAGCTAGAATTAAAACTGAAAAGAGAATACAAGACAGAAGGGTAACATGATGAATTAAATATAACCCGAAAACATTTTACAAAAGTTTTAAAAGAAAGACAAAAGCGAGAAAATGTGATTTGAAAAGAGAAGATTTTTTTGAACATCTAAAAAAAATGGCGTCTACTGTTCCTGATCGTAATGAGGATGTTGATGCATATACGAATGCTTATGATGATTCTGGTAATGATATGAACCCTTATTATGAATTAGATGTAGAGATCACTGAGAGAGGGATTTTACATGCAATATCTAATTTAAAACTAAATAAGGCTTGTGGTCTTGATGGTTTGTTAAATGAAGTGTTTGTTACTTGGCATTGACACCATGTCTAAAATTGCTTTTTAATGGAAAATTTAGTTCTGGAATTTTTCCAGATAATTGGAATATTGGAACAATTATACCACTATTTAAGAAAGGGGATGTGAATGTAACTGATAATTATAGAGGTATTACATTAGTAAGTTGTCTTGGAAAATTTTTCACTGCCATTTTAAATGAAAGATTAGTTAATGTTGATAAAATACATAATATTATCACAGATGTACAATTTGGATTTAGAAAAAAACTTTCCACGATAGATGCTATTTTTGTGTACAATCATTAATTAATAGAACTCTCAAAAAACGAAACAGACTTTACTGCTGTTTCATAGATTATAAAAAAGCTTTTGATTTTGTTAGTCGACAAAATCTTTGGTATAAAATGATTAAGGAGGGTATAGAAGAGAAATTCCTGAAAATAATAAGAAGTCTTAATGCCAATGTAAAATGTTGTGTTAAATTCAAAGGTGTTACTGAATTTTTCAAATGTGATTGTGGTTTATTCCAAGGGGAAATATTATCTCCCTTGTTGTTTACATTGTTTGTTAATGATTTAGAAATGGATTTTATAAAAAAATAATTGCTTATCACTAGAAATTCAAACCATTAATTTATTTTTACTTATGTATGCAGACGATATGGTCATACTATCGGAAACACCAGAAGACTTGCAGAAAATGTTAGATTCACTAGCAGATTACTGTAGAAAATGGAGCTTAACTTTAAATGTAGATAAAACAAAAATAGTTATCTTTAGAAATGGAGGTTTAATAAGAGCAAAAGAAAAATGGTTTTATAATAATGATGCGATTGAAGTAGTTGATGAGTTTAATTATCTTGGTCTCACTTTAAATTATAATGGAAAATTTACAAAAACACAAAAAAACCTTGCAGAACAAGGTCGAAAAGCACTATTTGCCATAAATAATGTATGTAAAAAGAATTATTTTAATATAGAATCTCGTCTTGCTGTTTTTGACACGTTTGTCAATAGTATTTTAATGTACGGTTCAGAAATTTGGGGATTTCATAAAGCACCCGAAATAGAAAAATTGCATATTGGATTTTTGAAATCATTATTAGGATTAAGAAAATCTACAAACACTGCATTTCTTTATATTGAATTTGGAAGATCTCATTTAGAGCTGTTAAGAAAAGTTAAAATTTTTAAGTATTGGATTAAATTACAACGTTCTGATAACTGTGTGCTGAAAGCTTGTTATGATGATATGGTTGAAAATAAAGACCCCTGGATCCTTAACTTAAAACATGATCTTTCAAGAGTCGGCCTTGGATACATGTTTGTGACTGATAGTATTTATCATTCTAGTGAAGTATATAAGCAGCGATTATGTGATAGTTTTCAGCAAGATTGTCTAGAGAAAGTTCATTCTTCTTCTAAAGGAGTATTATATCAGCATTTAGTGGAAAGTATTAAATTGCAACCATATCTTCATAAGGCAATTAATTTTAATTATTTAAAACATATTTCTAAGATACGTTTATGTGCGCATGACCTGTCTATTGAACGTGGCCGTTACAGAGATATACCTAGAGAAGAAAGAAAATGCATTTTATGTAATGAAAATGATATAGAAGATGAATTTCATTTTATAATTAAATGTAATCGCTATTCAGACCTCCGGTCTAAATACATAAAGAAATATTATTTCAAAAGGCCTAGTATGTATACATTTGTTCAATTACTCAAAATCGAAAACACAAAAGAACTTAATAATTTAGGAAAGTATTTATCACTAGCGTTTAAACGTAGAGCAGATTTATTAAGAGGTCATCAATAGAACAGGTCATGTTAAGATACATGTTGTACATCAGTTTATTGTATACAAATTATGTAATATACTATTATATTGATAAGTCTTGTATGGGTGAATGAGGATGAAGAATGGTTCTGGCGTGTGTATGATGAATGACGAATGATTGCTGCTGCTGTTGCTAATATGGTGATGATGATGATGATGATGATGTAATGATGTGATGATGATGATGTAACGATGTGATGATGATGATGATGATGATATGATGATGATGATGATGATGATGAGGAGGATGATGATGATGATGTTAATGAAGATGATGAGGATGATGTGTGCGAGTCAGTGTGAGTGTTCTTGATGATGAGGATGATATGTGCGAGTCAGTGTGAGTGTGTCCTTGTGAGTGTCTTTGTCTTATCTGTAATTGCCATAAGTTGTAAAACTTCAGCAAATAAAGAACTTGAACTTGAACATGTTTGGTAATCAGTTAGGAGCTAGGCATCGGATTGTACGGGTGTGTTTTTGGATGCTCCAGAAATCGCCCGCCGACCTAGAGAAAGTTATTTTAATAAATTTATGTTTGGACTACAATTCAACATCTTGGAATTCTACTTTCGAACTACACATTACAACGAACAGAAATTTTCGTTGTGATAATAACATAAACAGTGGCTGTTTGATGTGATCTCCAGATGTCTAATATGATGGCGTTCTGTACTTGACCTACGCTAGGCGAACTCACTGATCGACATATCAGAACGTTTCAACAATTCATAAACAACAAGCAGTAAAGTCTATAAAAAAAGTTGAACGAAACAAAACCAACTATCAGTGAAAGTTCATATGATTGATTAAAACCACACCGAATTCACAACCAGTGAAAGTCAATATTATAAATCATAATCACTTAGGACCACCAGTGAAAGTCAATATCATTAATCATAACCACTTAAAATTAACCACTAGTGAAAGTCAATATCATTAATCATAACCACTTAAAATTAACCACCAGTGAAAGTCAATATCATTAATCATAACCACTTAAAATTAACCACCAGTGAAAGTCAATATCATTAATCATAACCACTTAAAATTAACCACCAGTGAAAGTCAATATCATTAATCATAACCACTTAAAATTAACCACCAGTGAAAGTCAATATCATTAATCATAACCACTTAAAATTAACCACCAGTGAAAGTCAATATCATTAATCATAACCACTTAAAATTAACCACCAGTGAAAGTCAATATCATTAATCATAACCACTTAAAATTAACCACCAGTGAAAGTCAATATCATTAATCATAACCACTTAAAATTAACCACCAGTGAAAGTCAATATCATTAATCATAACCACTTAAAATTAACCACCAGTGAAAGTCAATATCATTAATCATAACCACTTAAAATTAACCACCAGTGAAAGTCAATATCATTAATCATAACCACTTAAAATTAACCACCAGTGAAAATCCATCGAATACATTGAAACCAAATAGCATAAACCACCAGTGAAAGTCAATATAGCACCGAAAACAAAGCAATGAAGCACAGCTAGTCTATCCTTTTAAACTTTAGAGAGCTTCAACATTTTATACGGGAATACTATGAGATAAAGTGTTTTGTTTCTTTCTAATGCCTTGTAATAGGAACCAAAACACACGAGTTGTTTGTCATCGATGGTTGTTACAGTAAGACGTAAACCGCCGTTCTATCAGACGCGAATTATGACGTACGTATATATTCTATTCTTTTTAAAATAACATTTTACATGAGAGAACAAGTGATTAAGGCTTCATGTTACAACGTGACATTTCCGGGATGAGGGTGACGAAGGTGTCCAGCGATCAGTAATCAAATAACTGATCCTCCAATCTAGGGATAAACACCAATCAGACATAATAAACAGTATTTATAAATGTGTATCTGTAGAACAGTCTTACAGAACTTCTGTAGTATTGGCGACAGGTTAACACCACTGACTGGTGTAACGAGGTGTCCCCGTCCGCTCCCCATAGCATTTCATGGACATGCAAAACATACAAGTCCGGTGAGTTCACTAACTGTGGTTTTGATGGGAATGGCAGGTAATTTTACTGTTGACAGGACAACAGGCATGTTTCCTGTTCGTTATTAACGAGATGAAGTAGTTAAGATTGTACCATTAGGCGGGGAGAGATATATGTTAAGAGTGACCCCCCACCCCCTTTGAATGTTACACAAGGTACATGACAAAAACATTTCAGCCACGTGGGATATAGTATCCTGTTTAAGTACAAGGCACAAGAGAGAAAATTATATTGAAAGTCGCCATGCTGTGTGTGCTTCTGATAGCGGGATGTTTGATCCTATCTACACAGGTATACTATTATTACCTATTACTATTATTATTAATGATCTCTAGAACAAAACTACCATTTTTTCACCTTTTTCTTTTTACTATCGGCATGGTTAAGTTTTAATAGACTTTGATTGGTGGAAACAAATGTTTGTGTTTACATAATTACATTGATCTAAACACAGTAGTAGTTTCTTCTTAATACACAAGTCAACACATTAGAATAGTTATCGACCAACAGATAGTCCTAACATAAACGAAGAATTAGGCGGACACGGATTTGATAGGGAAACTACAGAACATGGTAATAATTATAAAGATAGGACAAGGTTTTGGTATTATAATATGTGATACCAACTTTTCATAATGAACATTAGATATCATACACTATATATGCTTCGTAAAAAACCCACTACAAATAGGTTTCGTTCACGATGAATAACCAGCCAGAATACATAAAATACATACAAAACAGTCTCTCGACTGCGCCATTATAACTTTGATTTACTATTTTTGAATCAGAATAAAGCAAGAAACAAAGGCAATCACAGCTCAATGCTTAAATATAAAGTATTAAGATAGAGTCCACATCGGTCTCCGTTCTCAGTCTAAGTTCCGCTGTAGTTATAATTGTTCAATATTCTATCACACACATTCAGTATTGTATGAAGTTGTGTATTCCTCCCTAATTATTACATCCAAAATAATCACGAATACAAAGATATCTCAAAATATATCAACTATGCAGATTTATAAACATAATTCATTGGCATAACTTAATCCCATTTCATTTATCACAAGTGACATAAACGCTCAAACATTGATTTACGTGTATCTTATTCTCTGTTCAACAAAGCACAATATCACAGTGAATGAAAGACCTAATGATTTGATTTCTTATCTCACATGTGTATCTGGGCATTGTTAGTAATGGTACTTTATTATGATCACATCAATGTTAAACAATAGTAAGGAACTATAATATATTTACTAAACTATTTGATGATATATTTATGACGTTTTCACCAGACCCAGTTTCAGTGGGACGCCTGCCCTGACAACTCAAATGTCATTACCACCTGTCAAGTGACTAGGGACAACTGTTTCTCAGATTACAACTGTCCCAGGGGTAGGTACAATACTGTTTCTCAGATTACAACTGTCCCAGGGGAAGCTACAATACTGTTTCTCAGATTACAACTGTCCCAGGGGTAGGTAATATACTGTTTCTCAGATTACAACTGTCCCAGGGATAGGTACAATACTGCTCCACAGACTATTACTGTCCCAGGGATAGGTACAATACTGCTCCACGGACTATAACTGTCCCAGGGATAGGTACAATACAGCTCCACAGACTATAACTGTCCCAGGGATAGGGACAATACTGCTTCACAGACTACAACTGTCCCAGGGATAGGTAGAATACTGCTTCACAGATTACAACTGTCCCAGGGATAGGGACAATACTGCTTCACCAACCAAAACTGTCCTAGGGATAGGTACAATACTGCTCCACAAACTATAACTGTCCCAGGGATAGGTACAATACAGCTCCACAGACTATAACTGTCCCAGGGATAGGTACAACACTGCTTCACAGCCTATTACTGTCCCAGGGATAGGTACAATACTGTTTCTCAGATTACAACTGTCCCAGGGGAAGGTACAATACTGCTTCACAGACTACAACTGTCCCAGGCATAGGTACAATACTGCTTCACAGATTACAACTGTCCCAGGGATAGGTACAATACTGCTCAACAGACTATAACTGTCCCAGGGATAGGTACAATTCTGCTCCACAGACTATAACTGTCCCAGGGATAGGGACAATACTGCTTCACAGACTATAACTGTCCCAGGGATAGGCACAATACTGCTCCACAGACTATAACTGTCCCAGGGATAGGTACAACACTGCTTCACAGCCTATTACTGTCCCAGGGATAGGTACAATACTGTTTCACAGATTATAACTGTCCCAGGGATAGGTACAATACTGCTTCACAGACTATAACTGTCCCAGGGATAGGTACAATACTGCTTCACCAACCAAAACTGTCCTAGGGATAGGTACAATACTGCTCCACAGACTATAACTGTCCCAGGGATAGGTACAATACTGCTTCACAGACTATTACTGTCCCAGGGATAGGTACAATACTGTTTCTCAGATTACAACTGTCCCAGGGGTAGGTACAATACTGCTTCACAGACTACAACTGTCCCAGGGATAGATACAATACTGCTTCACAGACTACAACTGTCCCAAGGATAGGTACAATACTGCTTCACAGATTACAACTGTCCCAGGGATAGGTACAATACTGCTTCACAGACTACAACTGTCCCAGGGATAGGTACAATACTGCTCCACGGACTATAACTGTCCCAGGGATAGGTACAATACTGCTTCACAGACTACAACTGTCCCAGGGATAGGTACAATACTGCTTCACAGACCAAAACTGTCCCAGGGATAGGTACAATACTGCTTCACAGACTACAACTGTCCCCGGGATAGGTACAATACTGCTTCACAGACTATTACTGTCCCAAGGATAGGTACAATACTGCTTCACAGATTACAACTGTCCCAGGGATAGGTACAATACTGTTTCACAGACTACAACTGTCCCAGGGATAGGCACAATACTGCTTCACAGTCTACAACTGTCCCAGGGATAGGTACAATACTGATTCACAGACTACAACTGTCCCAGGGATAGGGACAAAACTGCTTCATAGACTATAACTGTACCAGGGATAGGTACAATACTGCTTCACAGATTACAACTGTCCCAGGGATAGGTACAATACTGATTCACAGACTACAACTGTCCCAGGGATAGGTACATAACTGCTTCACAGACTATAACTGTCCCAGGGATAGGTACAGTACTGCTTCACAGACTATAACTGTCCCAGGGATAGGTACAATACTGCTTCGCAAACTACAACTGTTCCAGGAATAGGTACAATCCTGCTTCAGAGACCACAACTGTCCCAGGGATAGGTACAATACTGCTCCACGGACTATAACTGTCCCAGGGATAGGTACAATACTGTTTCACAGACTACAACTGTCCCAGGGATACATACAATACTGCTTCACAGACTACAACTGTCCCAGAAATAGGTACAATCCTGCTTCACAGACTACAACTGTCCCAGGGCTAGGTACTATACTGCTTCACAGACTACAACCGTCCCAGGGAAAGGTACAATACTGCTTCACAGACTATTACTGTCCCAGGGATAGGTACAATACTGCTTCACAGTCTACAACTGTCCCAGGGATAGGTACAATACTGCTCCACAGACTATAACTGTCCCAGGGATAGGTACAGTACTGCTTCACAAACTACAACTGTTCCAGGAATAAGTACAATCCTGCTTCAGAGACCACAACTGTCCCAGGGATTGGTACAATACTGTTTCACAGACTACAACTGTCCCAGGGATAGGGACAATCAAACTACAACTGTCCCAGGGATAGGTACAATCAGACTACAACTGTCCCAGGGATAGGTACTATCCTGCTTCACAGACTACAACCGTCCCAGGGAAAGGTACAATACTGCTTCACAGACTATTACTGTCCCAAGGATAGGTACAATACTGCTCCACAGATTACAACTGTCCCAGGGATAGGTACAATACTGCTCCACAGACTATAACTGTCCCAGGGATAGGTACAATACTGCTCCACAGACTATAACTGTCCCAGGGATAGGTACAATACTGCTTCGCAAACTACAACTGTTCCAGGAATAGGTACAATCCTGCTTCAGAGACCACAACTGTCCCAGGGATAGGTACAATACTGCTTCACAAACTACAACTGTTCCAGGAATAGGTACAATCCTGCTTCAGAGACCACAACTGTCCCAGGGATAGGTACAATACTGTTTCACAGACTACAACTGTCCCAGAGATAGGTACAATACTGCTTCACAGACTATAACTGTCCCAGGGATAGGTACAATCCTGCTTCACAGACCACAACTGTCCCAGGGATAGGTACAATACTGCTTCACACACTACAACAGTCCCAGGGATAGGTACAATACTGCTTCACAGACTATTACTGTCCCAGGGATAGGTACAATACTGCTTCATAGACTACAACTGTCCCTGTGGCAGGTACAATACTGCTTCACAGACTACAACTGTCCAAGGGATAGGTACAATACTGCTTTATAGACTACAACTGTCCCAGTGGCAGGTACAATACTGCTTCACAGACTATAACTGTCCCAGGGATATGTACAATACTGCTTCACAGACTATAACTGTCCCAGGGATATGTACAATACTGCTTCACAGACTATAACTGTCCCAGGGATAGGTACAATCCTGCTTCACAGACCACAACTGTCCCAGTGATAGGTACAATACTGTTTCACAGACTACAACTGTCCCAGAGATAGGTACAATACTGCTTCACAGACTACAACTGGCCCAGGGATAGGTACAATACTGCTTCACAGACTATTACTGTCCCAGGGATAGGTACAATACTGCTTCACAGATTACAACTGTCCCAGGGATAGGTACAATCCCAGGGATAGGTACAATACTGCTTCACAGACTATAACTGTCCCAGGGATATGTACAATACTGCTTCACAGACTATAACTGTCCCAGGGATATGTACAATACTGCTTCACAGACTATAACTGTCCCAGGGATAGGTACAATCCTGCTTCACAGACCACAACTGTCCCAGGGATTGGTACAATACTGTTTCACAGACTACAACTGTCCCAGAGATAGGTACAATACTGCTTCACAGACTACAACTGGCCCAGGGATAGGTACAATACTGCTTCACAGACTATTACTGTCCCAGGGATAGGTACAATACTGCTTCACCAACCAAAACTGTCCTAGGGATAGGTACAATACTGCTCCACAGAATATAACTGTCCCAGGGATAGGTACAATACTGCTTCATAGACTACAACTGTCCCTGTGGCAGGTACAATACTGCTTCACAGACTACAACTGGCCCAGGGATAGGTACAATACTGCTTCACAGACTATTACTGTAGGGATAGGTACAATACTGCTTCACAGATTACAACTGTCCCAGGGATAGGTACAATCCCAGGGATAGGTACAATACTGCTTCACAGACTATTACTGTAGGGATAGGTACAATACTGCTTCACAGATTACAACTGTCCCAGGGATAGGTACAATACTGTTTCACAGACTACAACTGTCCCAGGGATAGGTACAATCCTGCTTCACAGACCACAACTGTCCCAGTGATAGGTACAATACTGTTTCACAGACTACAACTGTCCCAGAGATAGGTACAATACTGCTTCACAGACTACAACTGGCCCAGGGATAGGTACAATACTGCTTCACAGACTACAACTGTCCAAGGGATAGGTACAATACTGCTTTATAGACTACAACTGTCCCAGTGGCAGGTACAATACTGCTTCACAGACTATAACTGTCCCAGGGATAGGTACAATCCTGCTTCACAGACCACAACTGTCCCAGTGATAGGTACAATACTGTTTCACAGACTACAACTGTCCCAGGGATTGGTACAATAGTACAACTATCCATTGGGGCTTCACAGACTACAACCGTCCCAGGGAAAGGTACAATACTGCTTCTCATACTATTACTGTCCCAGGGATAGGTACAATACTGCTTCATAGACTACAACTGTCCCTGTGGCAGGTACAATACTGCTTCACAGACTACAACTGTCCCAGGGATTGGTACAATAGTACAACTATCCATTGGGTAGTTATATTACTGCTTCAAATAATACAACTGTCTCTTGGAGTATCAAAGAAAAAAGATATCTCACAATAAACGAACTGCATTATAATTGATGTGTTTAGTAAATGGAATATTATATAAGCGTTCATCAAAAATATGTCCGAGCAGGAAGTTCCCAGGAGCCCTTTATTAATGTTGATTTGCAATGGTCATCATCCTGATGTTTTCAGGTTGGAGGTGTTGCTCGTACGGTTGTGGACGGACTTGTCAGCAGCCGGGTAAGTAGCACTCTATACTAGTTACAATGTATATCTTTTATAATTGGCCCTGTCAGGCCAAATAAATTATAACTGGACCTATCAGAGGCCTAATATATGTTATTTATCTATAACTGTACCTGTCAGAGGCCAAATGAATTATTTTTCTATAATTAGACCTGTCAGAGGCCAAATATATATCTTTGTTATAACTAGACCTGTCAGAGGCCAAATATATTATTTTTCTATAACTGGAGCTGTCAGAAGCCAAATATATTATTTTTCTATAACTGGAGCTGTTAGAGGTAAAATAAATTATTTTACTATGCTTGACCCTGTCAATCGCCAACTAATTCTTCATCTATAATTAGACCTGTAAGCGAACCCGTAAACAACCTTAGGACAAAAATATCTGACCCTCTTCCACAGCTGAACACAGCTGAACACTTTCCGAGCTTTGACGCACCATTCTTTCTCTAGGAAACCACACATTCCAACATATTGCAATACTGCTCACGAATTAAAGGACCTAAGATAGCTGTTGGATCATTTTATTACGCGTTGAGATATGTAAACGTTATATAAACGAATATTATGATAGCTACGTAATATCCTCACGAACATGAAACTACAGGTTAACACAGTTATCTTCATTAAATTTTTGATTTGCCTGCAGCAATAATTGTTATTTCATTACAAGACCCTAGGACAAATGACTTTCACTTACACGGTAACCTTCTTTTACTCAAAAGTAACGTTCTGATTTTCCTACCAGTTTAGATTATAAGTTTAGCCTGGCTAAGTG